AAAGGAAGCTTCATGTTACATCTTTTAAATAATTGATGGCTCTCAGTCCAAGCCAGCTTGAAGGAAATTCTGAAAATAGGTACTGATTGAGCAAATGCCTCCTTCCTCTCCCCAGCCCCTTCTCTCGCATTCTTGGATCATTTTTGTTTAACAAAACCTGCATTTCCCTCCCCCTTGGCTTGTTTGACTCCTTCTGGGCAGTGAAGGAGGGTATCATTTGAATTTAGCATGTGCCTACCACTTGGTATCCCTTATTTATTTCCTATCATTCTATATGTTTTATTAAAGACAGAGGGAGCTGTTAATTACAAGCCGACTGATGTAATGAAGAGCTCTTAATTAACCTTGAGAAATGTTATGTTCTCATCACCACTAGAGGTAGTGTGTAGGGACTGTAACATATTAGGCTTTCGAGTGAGCCATCTCTGAGGGTCAAATCACACTGGCAACTGTGCCAGCTGTGGCCTCGCCCCCTTCAGCTTTCCCAGTAGGTTCAGATACGATGAGCTGATCTGTCTTCCCTCCAGAGAGAGAAGGTTCTCTAGCTTACCTCTGCTGACATCCATTAGCAATTGTATACGACTTAGAGAAGACATTGCTGCTTTCAGACGATGGCGATTGGTAGGCTGTCCACAGGAACCTGACTTAATGAGCCAAGGAGAAGTTGCACCCCCTTTGCATTTGAGTGTGTTGGTGGGGTCCAAGTTTGAACCAATGGACTCTGCTCACCTGTGGTTTAGACTTCTCTTTCTTTCCATTATTATTCTTTCTTTTACTCTTTACTTGTTTTGTTTTTGCTTAAGTAGTTTTCCTGTTACTTATCCTCTTCCCTTTCCTTTCTAATGTTTTATATCCCCATGGCTCAAGTGGAAGGAAACTGATTGACAACATATTCAGATGAAGAATCTTGGCTGATTTAAGGAAGATTTCACTTATTTTTTAAAATATTCTGTCCTCATTTATAGAAAAGCTTTCTCCTTCAGCTATTGCATCAGGAGCTAGCCAATATTATTGAATTTGGGAGACTAGAGAGAGGCAAGCATTGGGAGATCTAAATCTGGAATTCTAAATTTGACGTCTGTTTATCTGGGAAAAAGCTTTACATTGTCTTCATTACTGAAAAAACTGTACCTAAATTGACAGATTATGGTCCCCTCTCAAAACTGTAAAACTGAATCACAATCTCTGATCTGTTCTTCATTTCAGAGAGCTTTTTAAAACACTGAGTTGATTCTGTTGTTTCATTTTCTCCCTTATTAGAGCAGGCTTGGTGGAAGTGAGGAAAGGGGAAGACTGAAGTCATCTTCCCAGTAACCAGAGTTGCTTTGTATGTTCCATGCTTGCCCGGGATCATCTTTTCTCATTACCTTATTGAAACTCTGAAAAATATCTTCAAATAATCAAACCTTTTTCAACTCACATGAAGAACATATGGCAGGGAATCTAAAAAGCTGAGGAAATTCTTTTGTCTGTTTTTTTTTTTTTTTACAGTCTGACTATATACTAAAGCTATATTCAGAAGAATCAAAGGAACTATATGTGTTTCCCTTTTAAAACTATCTGCTACTTATTTGCTCTTTGAGAGTATGTGATGCATGGGCTTTTGCATCTGTCTGTAGGTAAGTGGACTATTGGTAGCTCTTTCCAGCAAGATGTACTCCTGAGGTTTTAGAACTCAAGAAGTGCTTTTCCCCAAGGATAGCTGTGTTCCACTGGAGTGCTACTGTGTTTCAGGAACATTATGTGCTAAGTGGCTTCTCTTTCTATTGTAATATCCATTCTTAGTACCAATTTGGGACCTAAAGAACAGCTCTCTCCCTCGGAAGGTACAGCATTCATTCCTCATTTTCTAAGGAGGTGACTGCAAACCCACAGATGCTCCTGCTGTTGGGGATGGAGGTGATACAAACCTACTGCATTGAAGTCAATGTTTCATGGGTAAAGGACACTGGTTACTTTGTTCTCTGCATTTGCTATAAAAATATTCTCTGGAATAAGGAGGGAGATTCAGATGCTTGCTTTCCAACCCTGCAGGGTATGACCATACAATTTATATTATAATCTACATGAAGGATGCACCCTGGTGTTGTGCAAAGCAAAATACCTGGAAATAGATCTGTTAGTTTTTAATCCTGTGATCAGTTTCTTTGGTGTCAGTTCATATGTCCAATTTCAGCAACTAATTACTTAGGCAATTGGTTGTTTATAAAACAGTAGTCTCTTAGTCTACATGTGAAATCTGATTGTTTGTGAATGAGGATCTTTACAGATTGAAAAGGTGAAGAAAAAAGTGAGTTTTTAGATTACCAACCAAAAGTTTCAATTATAATGTATCTCAGTTTCTAAAGGTTTATGACAAGCTTACATTCTGTTCTTCTGTAAATGGTGTGCAATATTAAGTAAACATTAACCTTGAAGATATTACATTTACATTTAAGATTAAATTTAAGTGTCAGCCATTTAGAACAGAATTAATCTGGAGAAATATTTACAGCATTTTGTAGCAAAACACAATCATTGAGATAACAGAAATCCATTCTACATGTCTTCCAACCTTAACTAACCCCTTTCACCCACAAACCCTGCAGGGATCAGAGCGTAATGAGGAAGCAAGAGACGTGGGTGGCAAAAATAGGCAAAAACTGGATTAAGAGGATGAGCATCAAAAAGCTAGATTTTTTGTGCCCATAATCTAGCATCAAAAAGCTAAATTATGCAGTGCTATAAGTCCACATTACTGCAAGAAGAAATTGTGCATTTTTTTTTTTTGAAAAGCTATTTCTAGCTCATTCTCCAATCCTGCCTCAAAGAACCCCAGATAACACCCAGCTCATGTATCTTGGGGCTTAGGACATTTGAAATTCTGCTGTAAGGAATTATAGATACTCTAGTCATCCATCTCCTTTCCCAACACCTTCTAAAGGTCTTGTGTATGACCAGAAGGGAGTTATATGGACTAAGTAATTCTTCTTCCCCAAGACTCTAGGAGCAGAATCCTACAGCATTCTGGCCCTGTTGTCCCCGCAGGAATGGGAGATCACAAGTAAGTTGCCCCTGAGTTGACTGCCTCTGCTTAGAAACTAGTTGTAGGTGTAGAATCATAAGGAGCAATCTTCCAAAAGATCATCATCACAATCTGAATGCTGTTCTGAGTGACCATTGATTTCAGAGATTTGCTTTAAGAAGTGATGTGTTTTACATGTATACTTGAATTCACACCCACCTCAGTCATGACCATGGGCAATATTACATGGATAGTAACCTGTTGAAATTTTTGTTTCTTCCACTCCTTTTTTTTGTACTTTTTGAATTCATAGGTTTCTTAAAAAAAAAAAAAAGACAAAAACAGCAACCTAAATTCATTCCTCTTAGGTTTCTCACTCTGTAGTGTGATTTGAGTGGGTTTTCGCTTGATGTATCTCAATACTTATTAATATTCTTAGTACTTAATATATTAATACTTGACATTTTGTGATACAAATTACAACTTTTTAACAGACCTAGGAAATGAGCAAGCTTGTGTTCTTATTTCAAGTTATCTTGCCTTTTTTCTCACTCATGAGTACACTGGAAACATCCTCCCATTTTCATTTGCAAAGCCTCTTCCTTTCTTGATTCTAGACCCAGTCAAATCCCAGTCTACACGGGAAGTCTCCTTGGTCTCTGCATTTAGTAGACTTTTAATGCACCATGCAAGAATTTATTTTGAAATTATCCCTTTGTTTTTTCACCCTTCACTTAAATGGTTTCTATTCAGCTTTAAAGCAGATGGTCTAAGTATGATTCCAGTGACTTTTTGTAGTCTTGAGATCTCAAGGGGGCATTGGAGAGGAACCCTCAATCTTGTTGAATTGTCAAACATTTTAGTTTTAACTTCATTCTTTAAAGAAAAGGGACAAGATGTGGGTTCGAAGGAAGTCTATAGTGAATTCAATTTAGAGTTACTCTGAGGATCTTGTAATCACCATCCAGACGTCCCTTTGAAGTGTTCACTCACCAAAATCTAGTTACCACTTTTCTGCCTCAAGGGCTGTGACGAAAAATTACTTGGTACCACCTGATTAATGAGTTTCCCCACATCTTCTACTTAGGAAACTGCACCCAGTGTGCACCAAGCAGATGGTGGGGAGCCTGTCCCGTGTTCCTTGGCCTTTCAACCTTTCCTTCTTCTGTCTCCCTTCCCAGGGCTGCAAGTCCAGTACAGAATTGCTCTGGATATATGGTGATCTTTGTTGCTCTGAACAGATTTCTTTTAGATGAAGGAAAAGAGCTGAAGATTATTAAGTTAAATCATATGAAATTGCAATTTTTGTAGGTCAAGTTTGGCTGAATATCAACAATTTCGTGAGGTTCACCCTAATAGCTTGCTCTGATAGATGTTCTACCTAAATAAGCATTTTTCAGGGGATGTTTGGTAAAAACCCACCATGGGATTATTTAAAACTGAAGTACAAGAAAACCTGGGCTTCTCTACCTGCTTCCTTCTATCTTTTTTTGAGTTTCTGAGAAATCAGAAATAAGCCCTTCATATTTGGAGATATTTGTATTGTTTGCGGCTAATGTTAATTAGTGAGGAATTTTTTTCCCTGAAAGTTATAAATGGGTTTAATGGGAAATGCTTTGAAACTTTAACCAGAGCACTCACTGTAAGAGAGGAACAAAAGATTAATAAATCTGATAAGCTGAGAAGGAAGAAAACTTAAAAGAAGAAATGAGGACTATATCTTAGCTAGTTAGAGTGTTGATATGGCTCTGAGTGTGTGTGTGTGTGTGTGCATGCACGTGCAAGCACACACACACGTGTGTGTGTGTGTATTTAAAATGAAAATCAAAGACTTGCTAATGGCAGTGTGTACTAAGTCATAGCTATTAATGTGTGCTTAACTCTATTGCCTGGGAGATTTTATTAAATGCAGTGGCCAATGAAATTGACCTCGCTTTTTCTTTTTTTTTTTTCCTTTTTTGGGTTGGATCCTTGCTCATGTCACAAAAATGAATAGAGCTGACAATTTACTGGTTCATCAATGAAACAATATTAAATCATGAAGATGTAAGGAAAAAATCCTACACTCACATCGTTGCAGTTTGAAAGGTAAGCTGTTTCCTGCGAGATTAGGAGATATTGACGTTCACATCAAACCTCTGTCACAGAAGCCTGGTGACGTACAGGAGGGTAAGTGGCCTCCTGCATCCTCATACTTTCTGGTTTCGGGCAAGTATTTTATGGGCAATGCACATGGAGCAGCTCCCTTGATTTTCTCTTATTTTTAAATTGCAAAAGTATCACTTTTCATGCTTTTGAAGTGTTCTATTGGGGGGATGTTCAGAGGATGTTCAGAGGAATTGGATTTTCCTGGTTGTTGACCATCTGGTCCCTTTTGAAAGGTGCTGCCCTTGTTACTACTGATTCACAGTACTGACCCTGCAGCCCTGATTGTCAGAGTCAATTCTCAATTCCTGTCTCATTGATGCACCAGTACGGTGGTATTGTTCTTTCTGTCTCATCCTGTGGTCAGAAAGTAAGTCTTCCTTCCTAATTCTAGCTTCTGTGAACTTATGAGAAGTTCTTAGCAGACTCCGAGTTCCAATGGAATGCCTTGTTCTTTAGTGAGATGTCTAGATGTTTAGTCTCCTTTGCTTGGCTTTTGAAGGAAAATCAGGCAATACCTACTTTCAAATCACCCAGTTGATCTGAAATACCCTTCAGGTGGGGCCATGAACCCAGTTGTCCAATTGTAATCACTGTCACATTTGGATGGCAGACTCTCCATCTGATTCATAATTCAGGGTAGGGGCACACCACTGCCCTAAATGGTTAGCTCTGCCAAAGCACAGTGATTCATCTGTTACCCCTGTGGGGTGTGCGGTGCTAGGCACAGAGCAGGTTGCAGGAAACCTGGGCACACTCCTTGCCCAGGATGCCTGTCCACCCAGCTTGGTACCAGAACCTCTGGAGTAAGATTTTTGGAATATTGTTCAGCAGCCCCCTGCCTCCATGTGGAAAATGGCACTTCAGAAGTTGAATTACCTTTTTCATGGCACCCAAGTTGCTTAATTTGCAAATTGAGAATAATTTAGGCAATGGGAGAATATGTTTCCATGTGTGAAAGTGGATTGAAATGAGTTTGTCGCTCTCTCCGCTCCTTCAGCTCAAACGATCATAAAATGGAGTTCTGGCCAAAAATCATTCAGTTACATGATGCTGGGATATCGTCTGTTGTTTTGTGTAACATCGGTTTAGTTTTAATTATTGCTGATACTTAAATCTGTGCTGCTTGTGAGCTGCGGGCGTGCCCTGCTTTAAGAAAATGGAAATGTGCTTCAAATCCATGCTTATTCTGCCTTCACATGAGGGGCAATTATTTGAACTCTAAAAATAGCTTGGCTTTAAAAAATAATTTATCACAAGCTTCCTTTAAATAACCAACTCTCTTACAGCATTTAAAATATGATTTGATTTGGAAAATCAATGTCCACTCAACTTTTCAAGAACATAGCTGCTTCGTAATGTGAGGCAGGTGAAGAAGAGGAACCAGACACAACTAATGAGGGTCTTAAGTGAAGTGAATAAAAATTCATTTTAATTTAGAAAAGAATTTGCTTTTCTTGAGTTTCCCAGGGAAAACACCTTCTTCTTTATCACCTCCAAAGTACACAAGAAAAAAAGAGGCCGATTTGAGTTTGGAAAAGATAAATCTATTTCTTTGGTGGGTCGCATTCTGCATTATGCATGTGCGTAAAAGTGAGGTTGCTTTGATCCTGACTATCAAAAGTTTATTTTTAAACTCAGACTGGGCAGGAATCCAGCGATGCTCTTTCCCCAGGCCGAACATCCTGACTTCAGGTCCCAGCCTGGCCGAATGAACCGAGCTGCAGGAAGTAGCTGGGAAGTGTGGAGAGTTGATGGGTGCTGAGGTGTTTTTTTTTTTTTCCTTCTTCCCCTCCATTTTTGAAATTCAAATTGAATGCAATTTTCAGCTCATTTGAGCCAGAATATACTGTTGCTGAGCTTCAGTGGCTCTTAAATTCAAACTCACAGGAGAAAACAGATATCATCTGTCACAGAGGGTGGGAGAGAGAATACTCCCCGCATTTTATTCATGGGAGGCCGAGCTCTGGTAACTAATTCAAACCTTTCTGACTAATCGACTAATCATTCACCAGCAAACTTATCCACTAATCAATGAAACCTTTGAGCCACCAGCTTAGAATGTCTGGGAGCAGTGTCCACCTCCCTTTAAAAAACAAATTGTTCCAGTCTATTTTTGTATCATTGATATTTTAATACCTTTTTTTTTATTTTTTTTTTTTTTTTGCAAACAGACAGTATCATGGCAATCTTTTTGTCTGCCCTTCCTGACAATTTTTACTGTTCCCATCTTTAATGTCTTTGTCAGTGCTACTTATTTAGGAATGGAACTAGCAGCAAATTCACTGCTGCCTCAGTGCTACCAAATTTTGAGTTCTTTATGAACCAGACTGCCTGAAAAATAATCTTTCTTTCTTGGGGCAAATATAATACCAATGAATATTTGGAAACCAATTATACATCCTTGAGTTTGCAGTGTGTCTTATCTGGAGGGTGGCTGCTACAGGGTCTCCGAGGATGCCTTTCAGGACTCCTCTGCCACTGGGTAGGTACCCAGGGAATCCAAACGTATTTGGACAAATGATGTCTCTTCTGATTTCAGAGAGGATGTGATGTGGCAATTCTGGTTCTGAAATGTAGATTTTTATCCTTGACTACTAGTGCTTATATTTGAGTGTGAATTTAACAAAAGCTAAAATTTCCATGGGAGCATGGAAACCTTACTTTGTTGTTGTAGAGGTCTCTGAGAGACAAGTTCATTATGATGTTATTGCAAAATAAATAAGAGTGAGACAAATTGATCCCTAAATACAATCATTTCTTATGAAGTTAGTTCATAGCTATCATAGTTGCAGTCTCAGTATGTTTTGCAGTATGTGTGTGAGCAGGCCATGTGCATGTGTGTGTCTCTGTGTGTTCACATGTCCACAAAATCTCCAAAATGTGACAGCAAAAATTTCTAGTCATTTCACATTAACAAAGGCACCGACTGCTTTATCCTCTTAGTGGTAACATACTTGTACAATAGAGCTCTGGTAGAAGATACTAAGTTCATTTTCTTTGTAAGAAATAATACCCTGACATGTTCAGCTGTTTTTTCTTGTGTATACTTCAGTACAGTTACAAAGACTTTACTGATATTTCTTCAGCAAAACTATAAGAAACCAAAAATCTACCTTGATAAGGAATCCACATTTTCAAATTAATCACTCAGTTAATAGTGTTTTAGTTGTTTTAATTCAAATCTTGGATCTCTTTAACTTACAAGGAATTATTGAGTGTGGACTACATCCCTGATGTAGGGTCTACCATTTATAAACAGCAGTTCTCTAACCAAAAGGAGGTAGACATTGGACCTGAACAATTCGTGTCAGCTGGAATTGGCTGGAGAGGTGAAGTTTGCAGAGGCTTCCAGGGGTTCAAATGATTTTTAAATATACAACGCCCCTCCTTTTCCTTAGTTGATAATCATGTATAAAATAAATATGATCTGATTTGGAGTTGGATAAAAACTGATATGCAAAATAACCAATGAAAAGGTTAACAAAATGTGTGTTGTAAGGCATTAAGTGGAGAGTATTCCTCAAAAATGTTTACACCCTTGGTCAATGCTGTCATCCCGCATTGAGTGATGGGAATACCTGAGGTTAGAGGAAGGAAGTAAGGGTTCAGTCCAAGAAAAAGGCAAAGCCGGAGAAGGCAATCGAGGAGTAAGAGTAAAGCCTGCCAGAGTCTCCTCATACAAAGAGAGCCAGTTGTTAAAGTTCTGGGAATTTTGTGAGCCAGATTTTATGACATATCATTAAAAGATTAAATTGAATGTGTACTCAACACATCACTTCTTTAACACTTTCCCCACCTAATGCTGTGACCTGTTTGCTTGTGTCTGCTGTGCTTGGGTATAGCCCTTTTCAGCTCCATGCTCATGATGTCAGGATGGAGCTCGAAATCGGCCAGGGTAGGAGTATTTATACCACAGAAATTGGGGGGTGCTAACAATAGGGCGTTTGTTCATATGAGCAGTTCTTAAAAGTGCCAGTCCATACTCTTCTAGCAGGGGAGACACCATGATCACGAAGGTGGTTTTCCCAGGGCGAGGCTTATCCATTGCACTCCTGATGTGCTGACCCCTGCGATTTGCTCAAATGTGGGAAATTCGACTGCATAATTTGTGGTAGTGGGGGATTGCATTTGCGCTCTCAAAAAAAAAAAAAAAGTGCCAGACCACCAGTGGTGGGGAGGGGGGTTTGTGCTAAGGAACGGGGAAGTGTAAGTGGAGATGTGAGCACGTGAGAAGCTCAACTCCATAGAAGGTTAGACAAATGGCTTACAGTTGATTTAGAAGTAATTGAGATCATTTTAAATACTTTTTAAATCATTATTGCAATATATGTTTGCTACAGAAAATTTGGAAAATAAGAATAATAGCTCATATGTCTGTCACATATTCTATATTCCCTTCACTTTTTAAGTGCTTTAAATATAATAAAACTCTTAACCTAGATTCAGCTCTGTAAAGTAGTTGCTGTTATTCCATTTTAAAGATTGGGGGGGGGTTGAGGTACAGAGATGTCCAGTGCTTTGACCACTTTGAGGAGCTGTTTTTGCAAACTGCTGTTTCACATGGGGTTCTCTCCACACTGCAGCCCAGTGATGGCAATGACAGACAGTAATAACCCTGCCCATGGGGCTTCTCTGCAAAACTTGTCTAATGGTAGCATCATTGAGAAGGAAGACGAGGACCTCAGCTGGAGTTAATGAGGATTCAAGGTGTGGGGAGTCTAAGTGGTGAGACTCCCATGGCAAATCAGTAGCAGGCGAGCAAACCCTAGCTTGAGACCACTGCTTTGTATCACTGCAGGGAAGGCTGACTGCCACAGGGATCAAGCACAGAAAGAAGCTATAAGGAAAAACTAAACTTTAGAAAGGAAAGCAAGGAATGGAACCCATGGATTAGAGATTGAGAAGCCTTAATTAAGTTCAGCTCCTTGAAAGTCAGGAGG